CCCCAAAACCCCAAAACCCCATGTCTTATAATTTATTCTATAACTTAGGATTTTGTAAAATTCAGAAAATAAAGTTTAATTATTAAGATTAATAAAATATCATTAGTGAATAAAATGAATAGCAAGAGATTACTGCTAGATCAGATAACCAAGAGAATCCAGCATAAGTTTGGCTTTGACTAAAAATCCTACTTTCTAATTCAGCAGTGCGTCAAAGAAAAATTAGTAGATAAGTCGAAACTCAGCCCTTAGGTAAATATATTCAAATAAGTAATGAATTCAGGAATTGCAAGAGATCGAAGAATACATTAAAAATCTGGATTACATTAAGTTAAACAGAGATAACAAGTAACTGACATCTGCTTCAATTAAGAATCTTAATCAAACAGCTAACCTAGGCTCAATTGGTGATCTTGAGGCCTCTCCTCTCAAGAGTGTCAATGAATCTAAATTAGACGACTCAAATGTCTATCAGTTAGACTATTTCTCTAGAAGGTCAGGGTCTAACGCTAATTACCCAAATAAAAACAATTTAGACACCAGCTCTAATATGGGTAGGGTCAATTTAAGAGGAAATTTAGAGCAGATTTCAAGAGCTGGAAATGATATCGTCTCTTCCTATCAATCATCTAGGAACACTAACTTATCAGTGAAGGCTTATTCTACAAATAAAATCAATGAACTCAAAGCCAAGTAGCACGAGGATGAATGGGCTTAGATTCTCAAGGCAGATATAGATAAAAAGAATTAAATTGAAAAGGAGAAGTAACTTTCAATGTAAAACTAAAAGAAGAACTTACAAGATTTTCTGCAGATGCAAGTTGAAGAGAAAAAAAGGAAGGAAGAAATGCAAAAATTGTAAAAGCAAAATGACCTCATTGTAAGATTTCATCTATTTTAAGAATTACATAATAGGATCTCGTTGGAACCTTAAGAAATGATATTCAGTAGATAGACCATGAGAAGTCGTAAGTCATTCAAAAGAAACAATACGAAAAAGAGTTAAAAGTTGGTCAACTTCATCTTGACTAAAAGAAAAAAGAACTAGATAAGGTTAGTACATTGTATATTTACCTAATTGATTTATTATAGTAACTTAGATATGAAGAGGAATTATATACAGAGACATCACTTCCATTTGATAAATATAAGCAAAAGGAGATTCTAGAAAAGAAGGAGTAGGTCAAGTTATACAGTTAAGTTAACGAGAAAGTTATGGCTCAAAAGCAATAGGAGAAGTAGATTAAGTAATTCGATAATAACATTTTAAAGAAATTCATAGGAAACTAGAAGAAGTGAAAAAATCACCTGAGGAGCCATTTTTAGATAGATTAATGGTTAAGAATTTTAAGATGTACCAAAATGATCATGAGAGTAGGTTGAAATTGTAGGAGCAATCAGCTGATATCTATAGGAAAGCTCATCAGAATGATGTCTCTATCTAAGAACTTGCTTATAAAGATGAAGTCAAGGCTAGACACCATGTTGACGTTTAACTGAGAAAGTAGTAGTAATATAATGGTCTTGTGGAATAAAAGCGTTAAAAGGACATTGAAGAGTACAAGAAATGGCAGCAGCTTCATGACCAGGAGAAATAACAAAAGGAAATGGCTTAGAAAATGCAGTATTCAGTTGAAAAGCAAAAGATGGACGAGCACATTCATAAAATCTAGATTGAAGAGAAAAAGAAATTTGAGGAGTCTAAAATTTAGAAGATCTAATATAGATATGAAATCGATAATCAAGTCAATGAAAAGATTAATAACTTATTTATTCAGAATCACAAACTAGGACCAAAGGAGCTGATGACTAATAGAAGAGAACTGCAGATCGCTCAACAGTTAATATGAGTATTAATACTGATAAGTTAGATTTTAGTTTAGAATTACTTTTTGCTTTATCTCTTGCATTTTAACTCATGGGGTTTTGGGGTTTTGGGGTTTTGGGG